AGACAGATGCCTAAAAGACAGGATTCTACGTACTGATATACATAAGGTAAATCTTAGCACATTATATGTATAATTATATATGTATGTGTGATAGATTCTTACTCTAGTATACAACACATTCAAATCTAATTAGAAGACTAAATTAAAAAATAGCCTGGTGATCCACAAGTACATTTCGCAGGTAAGATCGAGCCCCAAACCACGATCATACCATTGGGTGTCCCTGCCGACTGTCAGCAACAGCACCAGCGCCCCCCCTCACTCTCGATACCTCTGCTGCGGAGGGGGAGGAGGTGTATCGGGGGGGCCCCTCAGCTACTGCTGCTTTACGTCGAAGGCTCCAAAGAGGGCAGCAAAGGTTTGTTACCCTGTGCAAGCACTTGCTCTGTTTTCTTTAAGCCATGCAGGGGCTCCCCCTGCTGTTCCTTTGTTTTCAGAACCGTAAGAGGAAAAAGAAACCCAAATCAAACCAAAACCCCACTCCGCTGACATTTACCTTTTGCAGAGGAGGAGGAGAGGAGAGAGGCTTTTGACATGCTTCCAGCATATCACAGATTTTCTTTTATCTTCCTCTGCTAACTCAGTCTGCTGGCCTCAGTTCTAGATCGCTGAATATGAGATAGTTATTTGAGACAAAGATATGGTATTTACATGCAAGTATTTACATAGCAGATGTCTTCTTTGGACTATAAGAAAAGGAAATAAGTTGGCTATGCTTAAATATCTTAAAAGGAGATTTTCAGCAAAAATGGCAGTTAGCTGATGCTCTACATGAGCTGGTGATTTTAAGCTATGTCTTATTCTTACCAGTTTTACTAGGAATGACATTTGGACAGCTTGATGTAGGAAACTTTAAAAAACAAAATGCCTTTCCAATCAGTGCTAAACGTGAAACCTATATGGGTCTTCATACTTCCACGTCTTGCACAAAGAAGCCATATCCCACAGGGAGCGAAGGTAGCAAACAAACTCTCCTCTGTTTTTTAGTAATGGGAAAACACCACCATCATAGCAGCAGCAGCACTCCCCACCCCCCAAAATAACCAAAGCTTTCTCCTGATTTGTTTAAACAGAAATAGGTGTTTAGGCAACCTTTAGCAGTCTTCTGAGGCTTTTCATCTTTCTTTGCTATTTTTATTGTTAAAGTTTCAGATAAATTGTGTGGGAAATTTATGTGCATGCAAAAGCATCAGTCTTGAATCTTTATAAATCTTTAGTCCATATAGGGAATTATCTAAAGTTAACTCCAAAGACATCTCTACATTCATTACAAAAAGATGTAAAACACTGTAAAAACAATGGTGTTAATGTAAAGACAGGGTCAGGTCTTCCTTTTTTCACTTAAAGAGTTCAATGGAACAACTTCAACAAATTTCTTTCATTGGCCACTTGACAAAATCAAGCAAAAGGGGAAAATAAAATAAAAGGGAGACATACATTCTATCCCTTTTCAACACACCTTCAGGTAGGTAAAAAGTCACCCTTGAACTTCTACCTTGACCAAAAAGTATTAATTTCCCCTTTAAGCCAAAAGCCACAGTAGAAAAGAAACAAAATTGCTGTGCTGTCATTGGAAATGATGGCTTATAGAAACCTTGACTTTGTTTTATAAAAATCACCTGTTTTTTAAAACCCCAAAGAACACCACCACCAGTATTTCTATTGACAAGAATGTTCCTAAATGCCTTATCAGGGTGATACAATTTTCCATCTGTCTGCTGGAATTTGCTTTGCATAAAGATCTGGATGCATACAAGAATGTTTGTTTTTCTTTTTCTGCCATACTACTAAGAAAGTAACTCAGGATCCCAGAGCAGTCTTTTGCTGCAACTAATCCCTCTGGATTTGGCCTAGCCTTTCAGGCTGCACTTCCTGTCTGAACCTGCCTATGTGGTCGAAAAACAGAATGAAAAAAAAAAAAAAATCCCACAAAAATTCGGCAAGAAGCCATTTAACAAAAAATACCAAAACATTTGCTATGCAGGTTGAACTTCAAAGAACTGCTAAAAAAAAACCCACCCAAAAAACAACAGTGCAGAATCTTAGTTATTCCTTGGCTTCATCATACAGTGTAAGGGTCTTTTCTAGGATCAGGTTTGAGCCCTTAATAGTGGGAAACCCCAACCTCTTCACAGCATTGGGAAGAAACTGAAGGGTTTGTATCATCAGTGCTAAAACAATTTCACTGAAGCAGAGGTTGGGGTTTGATTATTTTCCCTTAAGAGCAAGAATTGATTTAAAAATCCATAAAATAAAAAAATATTTATTTCTTAGTTTAAATCACGAGTTAAGTTATTTCAAAAAGTTCTTCACATTATCTATTTAAATACCAAAGTAGTGACTAAAAGATTTGAGTACCACATTTAGTAAGAACACAATTAAGAACAATATCCAGGACAAACCGACCATCTCTTCCATGAAATGGAAAACTTAATGTTTGCAAATTTCAGCTGATTCAGAGGACTCATCATCTGTACACATGGGCAGCAGTGTAACAAAGGATGCATGAACCTAAGGTTCTTGTCTCCTGCATTAACTTCATAATGTTGTAACTGACAAATGCAAAGTCTTCAAAGTGCTGAGCAGATTATTACTTCTATAGGTCATATGCTGTGTTTAGTTAAGTAGGCCTCATATACAAGTGATCAAATGACTGTCACTTTGTGAGCACTCTTGTAAAGTACTCTCGCATGATGGAGAGGCCAGCAGACCTCATGATCTACTCATGTGCACTGACCTGACAAACCTTGCCACAACATGGCTAACTTCCCAACCCCCTCAAAAAGCAATACAAAAAAGCTCCACAGTGCGTCAGAAGTTATTAACATCCATGAGATGTGAATTTAAGCTTGGTGTGTCAGCAGTAAAGGTGAGGTTTGTTGTGTTTTTTTTTTTGTTTGGTTTTTTTTGGGGGGGTTGGTTGGTTTGGGATTTGTTTTGTTTTGTTTAAATACTATGCCAAGACATGCTTCTGCTTCCTAAAGGGGGCATTTGAAGTCTGGAACATTCTATTTAGCTCTCATGGCAGCATAGTTCTTCCTTCACTATTCTTTGGAAAAAGCAGATGTAGGTTTTCCTGACCTTTTTTGTTTTTCATGATAGGAAGGAAAACAGTTCTTCTTGCCATGTTCCAAAGTTTTGTAAGCTTACAGAAGTGTTTATAAATAGAACTATTTTGATTACATTGTCTTAAGAGCAGGGAACATGTAATATTGCTGCAGGTAATACAAGAAGGTAGCAGAAAAAACAGGCTGGTGAATATGAGAAAATCTGACCAGCATTGCTTCGTGTCACAGCAAACACCCAGTGCCTATACCACTTTTTATCATGGACACTGAGGCAGGATTAGAAAAAGAGTGCTTAAACAGACTATTTAACCCTCACTGACAGTGAGTGGAGCAACCCAGAAAGTTCCCACTCTTTCACTACCTATGCCCTCCAAACCATCTCCCTTCCATGCCATGAAATGCCACTTATACATTTCTTTCCTTCCCAGTGATTTACTCTTTTGTAGAGAAACTTAATCCTCCCCAGTGTCTCCCATATTCTTTTTTTGTGAAAACTTGTACCCACTACAAACTGAAGTCTTGCAAGAAAGACATACTAAAAGGAATTCAGATTTGGTGTTTTAAAAGGTAACAGTTCTCTTGACCCTTACCTTGTCTTCAGAGGGATATAAGTTCACTAGACACTGCATCAGCAGATATTTCTCAACAAGTTTCTCACAGTTTTAAGATCAAAGCACTCCTCAGAAAAATAGCCAATAACAGTAGCAAAAAAGTATGATACTAATGTATTCTATGTTGCATAGTATTCATAAATGTATGTTTTATACCATTATCTCTTATATAAGAGGAGTATGAAACAACTGCATATTTTGCTTCACTTTCAAAGATAGTGCGAATTCTCAATTTTGCAGAAGTCTTTCTGTCTGATGAAATAAGATATTTCCTGCAATCGCTGAAGGACTGAGGTCTGCCAGAGAGGTTTGTTTTGCTTGCATCATCTTACAGTAACAGTCCACCAAGGTATAAGTTGGTCAGCACAGTATCTGGAACCTGCAGCTGAATTTTAAAGCCAGAGCATACTCTGGCAAAGTATTACAAAGCTATTTACAGTGACTCTAAGGCAAAGATCAGATCATAGTTTTGGCACAGAAGAAAATTCAACCTTCAGCTTTCTTCATGTTTGCCAATACCATCTTTATCTTGTCTAGCATAATTATTCACTTGACAAGACTTTATTTATTCATTTTAAGAGAGAAGATAATAGTCTTTAATTACTACAGCAGACTAAAGAGGAAAAAAAAAGATAATTCCATAAATCACATCTTAAAAAAAAAACAAACAAAAAAAACCAACCCCAAAACAAAACCAAAAAACTTTTCCAAATGTACTCTTAAACTATTCCTCAACTTTTTTACTGACATTTTATCCTTTCTCTGGAAATTCTCTGTTTATCTGAAATACCTACAATACAAATTCTAGATATAAATTTAATAAGCAGGTAATATATACCTTCACAAATGTATACATGTGTTCAGTACTAGATTCATATATATATTCTATATCACGGGACACATACATTCCATGTATAGTTGGATAAATAATAAACTAGTTGAGAAGACAGTACTAAAGAGGAAAATTACACCTTGAAATCTGACTGGGTGATTATATTTAGACTCTGAAAGACCCACTGAAGGGGGAATCATCTGCTTTACTAAGTAAACCCCTGGAATAAACACTGGATGTACAGTATTAGTCTGTAACCTAGCAAATTGCTACAATGTAGGACACTGTGGATTACAAATGTGCATTAAATAACATATTGTTACAGAGTTTTTCCCCCCCTTAGGATGCACTCAACACTTTCCTCCTTCCTGTCTGACAATATGTTGCCATGCTATAAAAGCCCTAATGCCCATTTCAACGATTAGCTGTACATCAGCATTACTACTTCAAATCCACAAGTTTCACATCAAGCATTAAATGGGATGAATATTGATCTGCTAAAGAGGATTTATTTATTTCTTGCTCTATCCAAAGATCAACTACTAGCAGCTTTTGGTGGATCTGTTGAGCTCTCACAGCACAAAGCTACTGCATACATGACACCGGACTTGACATTTCAGTTCTGGAAGAAAACCAAACAGTAAATTCACTGCAATAATCCTAGATAAATGAGATGATCACTGGAAAAGCTGAGATAGTTAAGTGGTCTATCAGAAAAGTCCAAAGGATGATATTGAACTGCTGCTACATAGTAACCTCTCTCATGACAACATGGCACAAGATCACCATATCAGATGCCAGTATCATTGTCTTAAACAAAAGCACCATGTCTTCAGATTATCTTGGAACACTTCACAATTATGTTCTGAGCTGAAAACTGTATACTCAATATAAGTACAATCAGATACATATCATTATCACAATATTTACCCATCGATTCCTGTTTTGTTCTGTTCAGTCAGTAACACACTAATAACTGTATAAGGCATTCAAGAAATAGATATGTATTTCAGTCCTCCCAGCACAGCTAGTAGGTTTCTTGTAATGTTAGAACTGTCCTTGAAATGTTCTTTTTAGTGTATTTTGGTACGGATCACTTTCTACTCTTTGGCACTGATACAGTAGAAAAGCATACAAATGAGTTGAGGACTGCAAGCAGATTTAGAGATGAACCAGTGAGTTGCTTTGCCTTTTATACTCAAATGGCAAGGGCACAAGGGAGTGCTATGTTTTCACTAACTGATAGGGAGCATTTGAAATGCCAGTGTAAGAAGCCATGAAATTTTTGCTGTGCCACTTATACAGGAAACCGAAAAAGTCAGTCAAAACATTGCCTCAGTGCTATGATTTCATCAAGCTGTATCATTCCAGTAGCTAATAATGTCGTCCTAGTCATCTGCTAAATGTTTCAGTTTTATTTATCCGACTTCATCAACTTGCCTTTCTGAGAGCATATCATTTACAGAACACATGGAAAAGAAATAAAAACAGTGCCATACAATAGGGATATTTGCTACCATTAAACATTGCCTCATTTTTTGATTCTTCTAAGATCACAGTTCTTAAAAAATAAAAGAAAGGAGAAAAACAAAAAGAAAAAAAACAGGAAAAAAGCAGCAGCATGTTATCAAGAACAGATCTGAAAGCTGAAAACCAATGCTTTGTTTTGGTTGCTTGAACTCTATGAATTTCTAAACGGCCTTGCCACAGGTAGCACTCAGTTTAATTAGGTTTTTATCTGTAGAACAGTGTCTGCTTTGCCAAGGCTTGAGGACTTTGGGCCAGTTCCAAGTGTCAGTGAGAAAGAAACAAAATGTATTTCAACATTAGCCCTGCATTTAGACAAACACAAACCACCTCTCTTTTTTGTTTGTTTTTTTTTTCTTTATATCTATTCCATTTCATCTGTGTATAAAATAAACCATGCTTGTGAAGACAGTGGTGGTGAGATACGTCCATATGTATTTCAAACATAGAAGCTTGTATTATTTATAAACCATCCTAAATAAAACAACCCAAAACAAGTCTGAAAAGGTAATCTGAAATCTGTTCTGGATGATCTCTGCCTCGTTCAATCTCTTTAATGGGACATTACACAAAGTTTTCTCTTCCAATAGACTGTGAAAAAAGAACAAAATGAAACAGTATAACCGTGAGTAAATAATGACAGGAGAGACCATTTTATGTTGCCCAATGTTTTCAGGGTATCTATACCTGGAACACATGAAACGATAGCACATTCATATCTCCTGAGAAGTAAGAATCATTTTCCTGTCTTTCGTACTCTCATAACATGGCTGTCTATAAACTGCCTTCTAGGAACAGCATCTAAATTTGCAATGTAATTTGGTAAAAAGTTAATCCAAGTCACTAATTCTTTCCTTTTTTCCCACTACTAAATATAAAGATAATGGAATGTAATGTAAAAAAAACTTACATAAAAGGATAATGTCTATAAACTTTTCCATAGTTTCTTGGGAGTGGCTTTCACAAGGAAACAAAATCAAAGAAACAAAAATATTTGCTTAATTCTAGTTCAGTATTTAATGCTTCTACCTAACAATAACTCCTTTCTTCACAAACACTCTGTAACATAGGTCAGTCTGAAACAGACTGCAATGCCTGTGGTTTGAATATAACAGCAAAATTTCAGACATGGTGAAAACCCATATTCTACCTTTTATCCTCCCCGTGTCTTTTTCACATCCTTATGGTCATTTCTGCCTCTGCAACTTACTTTATTATTATTTTATATTAAAAAAAAAACCTAAACTCTTTTTTCTTCCTGCCCTTCCCCCTCCCCCAAATTCCTAAAATGTTGAAAAAATAGTCACATTTTTAAAATTATTTTATGGTGAGTTTTAAATCTTTTTTTTTTTTTTTTTTGTCTTTTTTCTCTCTCCAGGCTTGTTCATCTTTAGAGCACATCTAATTTGTATGTAATGAAAAGCAAAGATGCCATAAATAGAGACACTGGTCATCACTGCAATAATCACAGTCAAGGGTATGATCAAAGGCTGTCCTGCAGAGCTTCCACCAAGTAATGTGAGAAAGAATAGCAGTAAGCAATTCATAACAGCGTAACTTCCTGAGGCAGCAGCATCTCTCCAATGTGCTATATTATCATTTAAATCACAGATACTTTCAGAGGTCATATTTCCACACAAATTAACATTTTACCACCTAGTGCATGCATTCATGTTTCTCTTTTGGGACAAAACACCAGTTTATCTAACTCTACAGGTACATTAGGAAGTTTGTGAAAAATCAGTTTGTCCTGTCCCCCACCCCTAAAGAACTCAGGTTTTTAGGAATGATCACAACCCAAACAGGGCTATATGATGCACTCCATGTACTACATGCACCATGTGAAATACAGATGAAGATTTTGTTTTCTTTTAGGTATTGTTTTACAAGTCACAAATTCTAATACTACCTAACAAAACTCCTAGCCGCATAAAAAGATGCAATAAACCTCTCTAACAGTAGCTGATTTGTATGCAACATTGACCATAAGGGTAACTCTTCAGTAAACCTGAATCTCATATATAATGCATAGCAGTTAATAAATCATAGTAAAATCAGGTGGCTTAGAGCCAACAATACCCAACTCGTAATGGAAAGGGGGGAAAGATTTATAGAGAGACAGAGTCTGTCTGGATTTTGCTTTTAAGAGGCTCACACAGTGCAGTGGGAAGATCTTGCTGTGGTTTCCAAGCAGACACATCTGTGTCATGCTGACTCAGTCCTTCCCCCAGCATTGCCCCTCACTTACCCAAGGTGATGTCCCTTCTCTCCAAAAGCTTCCTTCTTTGACCATCCGTGGTTTCTTGTCTATCTGCTCCCTAGCATACGAGCTGGAAAGGAGAGAGATCACGATGAGATCAGAGTATTGTTCTGAAATTTCACAAAAACACCCCACACTAGATTTCAAACTTAAAGAGGAATACTTGAAATGAGCCTGTTGAAACTGGTTTCTCAACCCTCAAAAGCCATGCTACAAAGTATTCAAAGTGCCACATATTTCCCAGCTTTAAAATCCCATTTCATAAAAGGGAGAAAATGTACTTCAATGTTTGTAATGGGAAGAATGGGTTTTTTTTGCTTTAAGTAGCAAGGGCAAAAAAATCTTCTCAGTTCTCATTGGAGATCCAGGAGAGCAGGATATTAAAAGGATCTGGGATCTGCATGGATCTGAGAAAATATTTATTTTTTAAAAAAAAAAAAAAGCCTTTTCACAGCAATCAGAGGCCCTTATCCAGGCAAAAATATTAGTGCAAGATTAACACACAGCACCGCCAAGTGAAGCATACTTGCAGCTTCATCAGTAGTGTGATGTTAGTTACACATGTATAAAAGCCAGAGAATATACTTATTTCTTAAGAATCACATTCTGATTCTTAAACTGATTCTGATCCACAAAACTAATGCCGAAGTTACTTAGTTTTCAGGTACCTTCATGTATGTCATTCACTTTGACTAAGGGGAAAACACTTCTCTTTTTGGCTCAGTTATACCAAGTTTATGGTTGTCATTGCTGAGAGCACGCTGGCGGCTCAGGATTTGGCTTGGGAAAACTGCAGCAGAGTTTCTAAATCAAACTTAAACTCAATTCCACTTCCACACCCTAAAAAAGCAAACAACAAAACGTGTCTATTTATGCCAGGTTTTCTTCCTTTCTTTTTTGGTATTATAAATACCCGAGTGTCACACCAATACTACTCTACAAAAAGTTTTGAAAATCAAGAGCAAAGTAGAATTTGGAAATCCAACACACAAATAAACCAGGACCACCCTACCAAAATGAAAATGTAATTAACAGCGCCGTGCGGATTCGCCCTCTGCACAGAGGATAAGCCTTTAACAGGTACTTTTAGGGAGCGACCGCTCTTTGCGCACGCCGCCCTGAGCCAGCCCTCCCCGCGGCATAGCTCCGCTTCTGCCGTACGGCTGGGGCGGCGGGGTAAAGCCGATTTCTCCGCTTCCAACACACTGAGAGGACGGGGACCCGGGCGACCATTAGGGCCCGGCTGGCCGGGGGGGCCGGGCCTGGGCAAGGCCGTCACGGAGGCCGGCCCGCCGGCAGGTGGGCGCCCCCCTCGGGGAGTAGCTATGGGAGGCCGCGCCGGAACTCGAGCACCCCGCTCGCTCGCTCGCTCTCAGTTTCGGCGCTATTGACTCCCGTCCCCTCCGGAGCGGCGGTGCCCCCCGGGGCACAGCCCGGCCCATGGCGCTAGATGGCAGCACCCGCTTGCGGAATGTCGGGAAATGGCACCCGCCGCGGGCAGGGCCGGGCAAGTTGGCCTTAGGGAAGAGGGCGGCCAGTTCCCCGGCCGCGGGGGCCCCGGCCCCTGACACACAGCCCGGGCTTCAGAAGCGAGCTTTAAACTTCATCTCCGGCGCACAAGATACAACATGCGGTTGTAACAACACCCCAAGTAAGCATGGGGGTACACAAAGAAAATAATAACAAAAAATACCCCCCCCAAAAAAAAAAACCCACACTCAGACTAGGAACAAAATCACCTCGGGACAATTGACAGAAATAATGTGAAGTCTACTATTTCAGCAGAAGATAAATATTTAAGTATAGCCTACTGGCAGGGAAGGGGATGGGATTTTTTCCATTGACCTCTGTAGCAGCAGGACTGAGTTCAAAGAGTGGAGTAATACATTTCTCACAGCTTTCCTCTTGTGCTAGCTTATTTTTTACAAAACAGTTTCTTTCTTTTCCTTTACAGGACACATTACTTGCAACTTATTTGCTGTGTCAAATGGCAGCAATGATAAGTCCTTCAAACTGATGGCTAAAAGCCAGTCTCAATAGTATTTATTTAGGGATAAAAATAAGGAAATAAGACCTCTTAACATGTAACTCCAGTTTTTTCACTTTTTGTGTGTAGTTTAGTCCATTTTGCAGATTTTTGATGACATAGGGCAATAGCGCAGTTACAGATTTACAGAGCTTTCCATCTCTGCACTGCTTTGAGAAGGGTACAAAGTTAATTCACATGAAATAACCTGTATGTAAAACTGCCTTGCAAACAAATGGGCAAGCAACTTGTGAACTACCACCTAAGAAACTTTTGGCTGCTGCCACCCTGTCCTTCTGGGGCTTGTCTGAGCACCAATCCAGCTGATTACCCCACAACAGCTCTCCCAACATACCACCCCCTGCAAAACCAGCTATGGGCAGAATCCACTCATGTTTATTACTTTGCCTCCAGAAGATGGGCATGGGAATCCTATCTCATGCAGGTGCAACTCACCCAGGTGCTGTTAGAAGGGAAGGACAAGTGAGAAGGCAACCACCCAGAAGGCAGCACCCATGCACTGCCACTGCGAGGAATGCATCAGTGGAAAGCACTTGTGATTTTCAATCCTCCCTACTTCATCAAATCGGAAACAACGAGGCCCCAGAGGAAGTACAAGCACAGAGTATGCTAATGAATGAAAGCAAGACAATCATAGCAAGGTTTTTCGTGTATCGACACAAGCATCAGATTATGTTTTTTGGCAAGAAATGTAAAGCTACTAACGATACTCCACACTGTCTTTACAAATAGCCAAGAAAGTGTTATTCCAGAATTCATAGTCAGACTTGGTTATATTTTGCAAGGAATGGTCTGCTGGCAGACTCCGAGGATGTACAGTCTGTACAGTGTCTCGGTCTGCGGTTTGATTCTATAGCTCTTAGCCAGAATATTCCACTGTCAATCAATCCTAACCAAAAAAAGATACTGCTCTGGCGATTAAGTAAAAACAAGAACACATATGAACTAAGAAGATCAGATGAAATGGATAGCAGAAAGTATAAAAAACACAGGTCAATGAAGCAATAAATGGTTAGAGAAGAAGTATAAATAATAAACATCTTTTCTGTCATCAAGATCCCCACACTGGAACAGAAAAGAACAAAAATTCTAAATCTCTTTTGACCAAAATTCCAATTAAAATATTATTTTGCTGCGCAGAAGGGGGAAAAGAAATAACAGCCTGCCTCAGTCCTGCTGCCTCAGCTTCTGAGAGTTACATGCTTCATGTTCAAGAGTGCTGATGACACTACATGGGTGCAGCCTGTCCAAAATGCATTTAATTGATGTTTAATCCCCATTTATCACTAATGGATGAGACTCAAAGAGGAAGTGGGGGTCCCTAAAATCCATATTGTTTTCTTCTAGTATTTCTGAAGTCCTTGATAGGCCATGTGTAGAGTGTCAAACAAATATAAAAAATGCAACTGGAAAATAGTACATTAAGCTTTTGTATTAACTCCCATTTGGTAATGGCTTGTAATATATGCTGTTTGAAATACTGGTACAAACTCAGCAAAAGATGATGCAAGATTAAATAAAGAGGGTCAGAAGTTTGGGGAGAAGCACTGAACAGTAGCAAAGGAGCACAGCAGCTGTTACACGGTGCACAGCAACGCCACAGAATAGTTTATGACAGGAAGTGCAGAAAATTCCACAATTCACCTGAAGCTACAGTGGGAATTATGTAGGCAAAATATAGTTATTAAAACTGGAATGTAACCAAGACTTCAGGGGCTAATAACCCTTTTTTTTTTGCAAGAGATAGCAAAAAACTCCCCAAGCATCTTTGTTGACCACAAACTACAAGACCACAGCTTAACATCTCAATAGAAAGACACGGATTTTTCCATGATGAATTGTCACAAGAACGTGATCTTTCTGGGAGATGATTTCCTGGCCAACAATCTCCATTTCCTTCTATAAACTGCAAAAAGCGTTAGTGATTTTGGGATTAATATATATATATTATATGTATATACACATACACACACCCCCCTTTTTTATATATATACATATACATATGTGTGTGTGTATAAAAAAGAATCCTCTTTACAGCTATTTCCAATGGTTAAAAAAATATGGCCAGTCTTGAACTGGAATTTGACAGTAGCAAAGTGAATGCATTTACTCATTGTCGTATCCTTTACATTTCTTCATGTTAAAACGTCATTATTTCTTGCCTAAAACTTTACTCAGTTTGAAAGGCCAAATATTCACTTCAATGAAGAATTAAAGTACCTGACAGAAAAATCAGACTACGCACTACGTAGTGTTATGTCTGCATTTATAAAACACATACAGATCATGCACAAATATTTAGGAATATAAGTGCACAGGCTGTGAAAGTACATGTGCATTAGGACCATAAATACTCCTGAGAGTGGAACACATATGTGTATGCAGTGTGTATTTCTGTATGCAAATATGACTACAGTACAGAAATATGGATAAGCGTTGTGTGCACTGTACATTTAAGGTTCTTTAGTGCAGTTTAAAAGATTCTTTTGCAATGAAATTTGAGATGCATGTGTTTCAATGAAAACTGTGTAGAAGAAAGCTATCCAGCTCATCCCAGGATTAAGCAGGTAACGAGTGCTACTCCAATTTATCAGACCTGTTGCATGCAATTATAAATGCCAGAGAAAAATAATTTCTTGCAGATGTTTATTTAAAAATCAAACTTCTTGTGTTTTGCTGCATTCAAAGATACATTTCTTTTGCAGAGACAGAAAGCAGCTGCAAAACAGTATCGATTGCCATTACATCTTGCCACATGAAGAAACATGCAAGAGGCATTCTCATGGTAAAAATGCAGTCACCTTTAAAAATGGCAACTCCTCCTCTGGATGCATGCTGGTATCAATAAAATCAGGTAGCTTAGAAAGTTCAGTCAAATTGTACCTATAGTTAGATCTGCTAAAGGAGCAGACACAATATTTTTCCCTTCTTTAAATGTAGTATGGTGAATGCTGAATATGTTAGAAGATAATTACTTGGAATGTAAAATTCAGTGTTTTAAGTAAGTAAGAAAATGCCACATTTAGAACTGCCAGCCAGTTCAACTCCTTCTTTTTAAGCACACAGACATATACATATACACACAGGCTACTATATAGTCTTTAATTACACAAGAATCTTCATTTTCTCTGCCTTATTCAGTGCTTTGAGTGAGAGCACCGCCTAATGCAATTGATGCTGGATGAACAGATGCAATGTTCCAAGTGTTTCACTTTTCAAACAAAAAGGTTTTCTTTTCTCCTCAAGGAGAATTTTTATTTAAGATACATGCTGAGTAAATATATAAATACTGGGACTACCTCACTGTATCCTCCCTCATAAATTTCTTGCCTTAAATTGTTCTTTTGAAGATCACACTAGGTCCACAATCCTGAGTAGAGTTTGGAAGTACACATAAATGGAGCTGCTGCAGTCTGTGTCAAACTCTGGTATCTGCAGTTCTTGTCTGTGTCAGACCTGCCAGGTACACACCAATGCACACACACTGCCTTCACCTGGGAGTAATGTGGCCTCATTAGCTTATGCTACTAGCACCCTGCCTCTAGGACTGACTTGGCTATCTTAATTACAACTCTAAGTCTGGAGGTGGTTTGCAGCTTACAGCACTGGCTGAAGGAGCTCATGCTCACCCTTCCATACTGCTGGTCTTAACAGGAGAGCTGCTACCAGAAGATGCAATTGCAGGCTTGTTTACGAATACACAAGAGAGCATTTGCCCAAAGGATTCTCTTTGAGAATTTGCCTTTTAGGTACAATTACTGAATATGCCCCCCAAACTGCAATATCAGGTGCACGCTTGAGCTCTGGGCTTTACAGGTATGGCACACTTAAGAGTTAATGCTAGCTGCTTTGGGTAGTATTACTTACTACTCTTATGTCC